ATGTAAATGTATGCATGTATGTTGTATGTATGTTTGTATGTGTGTATGTATATATGTATTTTTGTATGTTTGTATGTATGTGCGTTATATATTTTTAATTAGATGATAATAGATAAACAGGCATGTTTTTGTTATACATGTGCGTATATAGATTAGAAGCTAATCTTTTCTATATGGCGCTAGAATTATGCCTTCATCCTCAGTTTTTTGTCCGATAATTTGTGGGTTTCCAGATTTTGAAAAATGCTGATAAACGCACCATTGAGGAAGAGGTGGATGCTTCAGGAAATCCTATTTCTTGCAGACTGGCCACTAAGCCGGATCTTTCAGTTGTCCCGCCATTTCTATTGAGAATGATTCCAGGCGACGACGGGCTCGTATTCGTCGACGAGGTCAGTAGTTGTGATCGTTCCTGACATGCTAAAAGTTGAGTGCAAAGTTGTTGTGCTGGTATACTTTACCGGCGAGAATTGAAATTTCAACTGTTGTGAGGATCGGCGCCTGCTGCGCACCAACATATGGTTTCCTTTTGACTATGTCGGCGTTAAGTCTTGATTTGTTGAGGCTGGCGGCTCCTATCCTAAACCCTTCATAGTCGCTCACGGAATATGCGGGTGTCTCGCATTTGTGTGTGCTGGGATATCATTTGGAATATTAGCAAGTGCAGCACCGCAAATACTATCGGTCCAGTTCGATAGCGGAGTCCGAGCCATATCTGTCATTCACATCACAAAGCGTGTGCATTTGTTGACCTAAACCATGATGTCTACCACAATCACAAATGATCAGTTGGCAAAACTCTGATAAACATTATATGCGTGCGTGCGTGCGTGCCTCAGGTGGAATACCTCTACGACGATCCCGTCACCCCCTATTCTTTCAAATGCATAACGGTGCCTTCGATTCTGGCGGACAAGGCGAACATCACGAGCAAGACACGCATCATCGCGTCGAAAGACGGTCGGTCGTGTAAGCAGGTACGTACGTTGTATGCGTGTTGTATGCTTGCTATATGCTAGGCAGTTCATAGTATGCTTTTGATTCAGTGAGTGTTATTGCTTGGTAAAAATCGGGGTTGCACATATTGATCGCAAACTTGTACGCTTTCTGGGTCATCTGCATACCTCAACAGAGCATCCGCATGGACGTCAGTGTAAAGGCATGGGGGGTGGGTGCTATTGTGGAAACACTCGTGCTCAACGGTGTCAGGGACGCGTATGCCCAGCTGCCGACCATGGTAGTGATGTGGAAGAAGATCGCTGCCTCTGCATTCCAGAAGAATCTGGACGAGACATTCCCAAAGGTGTGTTTTATTGTACTCTAATAATTGGAATAGCCCAGTAGTCAAATGCCGTGCATAGCGTATACTAAATACCCAGTTGCTTGCAATACTATGCTGCCTCATGTATACCGAGCGACATCCGGTATTTCATCAATATCGACAGTAGTGTGTACCCTTACATCGTATAGTTGGGAAGTTGCACCGTCGAACCGAAATAAATACATATGTTGTACATCCCTTCATTTAGGTGTTTTTACATAGCACCGATTGCTCGGATATAGTTTCTGTTGTATGTCGAGGCTATCACTTACTCCTATAGTTTTAGTGATTACACCGATGTCAAGTGAGGTTATAAATAACCGCTGTTTGTAAAGGGCCACACCTTCGTCTGTATATCACGACAAATGATCCGAATGCGCCACACATTCTCGCAGTGGGATTGGGACAAGCTAGATGCGCAGAGCGACACCGTGGCTCCCAAAGACCTTTCTAGTGCTACCAGTCATGGTAGCCTGCACGGAAGTGTACTTGGTAGCTCTACTGAGTCACTGTATCTAGACGCTGAAGAGGCTCCTGGAGAAGATCTGCCGATTGAGGTCGAACGCGTGACAGGCCTGAAGGTGCCGACGCAAGTATGTCTGGTGTCTGAAGTGAGGCTAAATGTACTATATGTATTAGATGTAGAAGTCTGCCTCGGTAGTTTTGCTCGCCAGCGCGTTTGCAGCGTACGCTGTCGCCTAGAGGCTTGGAGGAGTGTATCGCACATCACGCAATTGCTTTCTGTGGACACGTATTAGTGACATCTGTGAGTCTACGAGATGGATCCACTCTGCGTGCTAACTTCGCATATGCCTCTCGCAATCCCAGGATGCCATGTCGACATCATCGTCGACGACCTCCATCCGAACACAGCCGGAGCCCATGACCATGGACATGTCCATGACCATGGACATGCCTAACCCAAGCGGCATGCTTATTTCTTCAGGCTTTAACCGAACTCGCCACATCCGAGGCAGTAGCCATGTACACGTGCAAGTGGATAGGAGTGATAGTCTGACCCCCAGCAGCGGTGGTAGTAACTGTCGGCCAGCGGGGTCGGGTCTGGCGCGGAAGGGCAAGTCCCATATAAGGGCGAGTAGTATGTATACGAATGCAAAGGACGCGGTGGATATCCACGCAGAGGACCGGCACGGGTGACGGGTGAGGGGCATGTTGTAACATACAGTTTGAAGGAACATCGCGAATAGTGTCGTGCAAGCATGCAGAGGTCTCTCATTTGTTTATCCTGATAAATAGGGCGTAGGTGCTTTCCGAAGTGATGTCAGGAGCGCCGGTATCTAATTCACATAAGGGCACGACAAACACGTATGCTCCCTGGGAGAGGTCACTAGGAGCTACACTCCGACACAAAGACATAGACCCACTAATGGGCTCAGAGAGAGAGAGAGTGTGTGTGTGGGGCACACTAGAGTGACAGGTTTGTGCGCACGTTAGAGTTGGAGTGCCCCGATTTATAAGCAAATTTAGGCAGGCGTTCTTATGTACTGTCGATTGCCCGCGGTCGCGTACAGGCCTGAACCCCTATACTAGGCCTACCTGTACTGTGCTTAGCTCTATGCATTGTTTGTGAAACCTGGGGTATAGGATGCTTAAATAGCAGCAGATAGGAGCCATTTTCACGACTCTCGGGGTACGCCAGCATCTTGCTTAGAGAGTGCGAGGGCTATTATAAGGCAAACTTCCGCCATGGATGTCTTCCGGAGAAGCAGGATCAGTATGGTCGTGATCAATTCGCAAAGTATGGGGAGCCTATCTCACATAGACAGTAATGCTGGCTATTGTTGTCAACGTCCATCACTACAGACCAGAGGCAGAGGCATTAGCATAGTTTACTGTGGGAATCCAGTATAGGGCAAGTACATACGCTCGATAGACATCAATTGCGAGGGGAGGGAAAACGCACCTCATGCATTTAGTCCCGTGTTATTCCTTCTGGACGAGAACGAATGTAGGATGGGCACCTGATGTGGCCAAGAAGACACAGCAATGATGCAGACCTGAACTGGGCTAGCTATATATACAAGCTCTAGGGAACGGCCGTGCATGTGGCCATACACATTGTACAAATAGCTCGTCACTCCATTAGCCAGTGACATGGCAATCAGCAGCCACAGCGAGGCATACATCTCCAGTGCGTATATGTAATACACACACCTCTGCCACACACTTACATATACACATATATAGGCAGACATTTATGATACACACATCATAGGCACACACAAGGGTGGTTTAATTACCAGAGACGAATAGATCACTGCTAGGCAAAATTGCCCGAGATCGGATGAGTATGAATACCGCCTTCCATGGAGACGACGCATTCTCTAATGATGGAAGTGAACATATTTCCGCAAATAACAAATGCCACGCGTAGGTTTCTAATATCGACGGAGGAAGAACATTCGGCACATTGATATATAATAATGGGTTTATTTAGAAGTGATGTGTTGAGGTCAACAGGTAGGAAATATGTGCGCGAACAATCAAGGCTATATCAAATGCACAGTCATAACACGGTTTTATCGTCAATCTGGCGATACAAAATATTACCAGGTGCCTGTATGCAGAGCGTTGCGTGTTCGAAAAATGTCAGCTGCGTAACTATTCAACATGCGTATAAAGACAAGAGGTGATACGACCACGTTTTGGCAAGCCACTCCAACTTTCGATGTGGAGAGTAGTGGGATTGATTGAAGGAGATATAGACAGGAGCACATATGCAACTTCGAGGAATAAGCACTGCAAATAATAGAGTAAATACACCTCATTGATGAAAATTGAAGATAATGAAATTCTGCAGAGAAAGGTGTGTTCGTTACGATGGTGAGTGATCTCTAACAAGACAGAATTTCTGGTATATAATCGGTAAGATGTACGTTGTCCTCATTTTGACCGTGCAGTGCGAAGTAGCGATATAAAAAAAATTGAATATTACACGTATATTACATTATATATATATATATATATATATATACACACACACACACATATACATACATACATACATACATACATACATACATAATATAATATATATATATATATATATTAAATATTTACACACACACAGACACACAGACAGTCACACACACACACACACAGAGACAGTCACACACACACACACACAGAGACAGTCACACACACACACACAGAGAGACAGTCACACACACACACACACACACACAGACACAGACACATACACAGACACACAGACACAAACAAACCATGGGAATTCACGCGCCAAACAATACTAAGGGAACACAAAACATTCTGTGAATGTCAAGGTAACAATGAATAAATCGGGGACAGTAATGGCTCTTCTTTTTGCCCAGACAAACTGTAGGAGGACCGTATAGGGTAATTGCTATCGGTTGGACCCATCTACTTGTTGGGGATACGATGGGATCGTTAGTACGGTCAATCTATAATCTTTCATGCTCCCGATACTGACCTGCTCTACTAGGCAGTATGAAATACCGCTATGTCTGTGCGGCTATTATGCCTATGCCGCTAAGATTGGGTATGGATCGTTAAGCAAGATGAATACTTCGAATGTATTATTTTTATACTACTTACTATATTTAAATTCTGTCGGAATACTGTCATGAAGGTGGATAATCTTTAGTCTCGTCTCTATGCACGTTCTTAATTTCGGTGTAAAACTCGTCCACTTGCAGCTTTGTTCCTTTCCCTTTACCTGAGGCATCCACACCCTTCCATTGTACCGGTAGATTTGTTCCTGTGAGGGTGGTATTGTCAATACATATTATTGGCGAGGCTCTGTGTCAATGGTCCGTCCCGTCTCTCAGATGGACGTTTAGATTCTCTCAGATTAGAGCATGTGTAAATCGATCTGCATGAACGGTTCTCCACACGCGATCCGGTGCAAATACATGTGGACTACCCCATGGCCAACTCGAAGCGGCATCTGTGCATTAAGCCTTACGTTGCAGCTACATATAAACTGATAGACTGGCCCCTGGCCCCTATTTCGCGAGAGTTTTAGTTGTGCCGGTTAGAAAGTGCCCCTTGGTGTACCCGGGTGACTTTAACAAAAACTCGTGTACGATAGCTACTAAACACCTCTCGCAGAGGGAGCTCAGCTCGATCCAAGCGAATCTGCTCAGCAGCAATCTAGAACAAACCCTGTAAGTAACAATACCCTACACCTTCGGACTTGCAAACACTCAAGTGGGTGCACATACCCAAAGTCATGCCCAACACGTGTGCCTGTCTTCTTAATGCGGGAAGACGCTGCGAGTAGGCCCTGGATGCACCACTTCCCTTAAAATCCTTAAAATACAAACATACCTGATGAGCTGCCGTTGGTACCTTCCCTACGCCTGTCCATCGCCGATGGCATACTGCCGCAACGGCCCACACGTGGATGCGTACGCGTGTGTGGTTTGAGTGATCGAACGTCCGTGTCTATCCGTTCCGGGTTGGGTGTGCCTCCCACGGACACCACCCGTGCATACACAAGTGTATCTATCGGGGATAAGGGGCGTGGGTTGTCCTGCATGGAGAGATTGGTATCCGTGTGCTCGCTCATGTCGACATTGGAGTGTGCACGCGCGTGCAGACTCGTGCGTATGAAGGTCTTGCTGTTAGACCTGCTGTTGCACTGACTGCTTTCGGCACTGGACGTTTGGCTGAAATTGCCACTGATACCACAACACGGCAGCAACCACGATTTCAGTGTTAGGGAGAAATAAAACAACGAGATGTTAGTATCTGCGCCTGAACAACTGTCAAGGAAAGCGCGGATACGAATGTTCTGAGGAGGAGTAGTAAGGAGAAGGGCTTGGCGGCGGTGAAGCGTACAGGTAGAAACACCGGAACACGGGACAGAGGAAAGGCCACAGAACCCTGAGAAACCCATATCCGATGCAATGCATATCACACACGACCACTATTGATAACAGAGACTATAAATGCACGAGCGAACACAGCAGCACATAGCAAATACTTCAACTGTCTTGCAGACTACAAAAACACAATCGTAGACATCACACATGTCAGTGCGCACCTGAATGAATTGATATGTATGTAAACACATCTGATGGAATTGATATGCATACAGACACATCTGATGGAATTGATATCCATGTAGACACATCTGATGGAATTGATATGCATGCAGACACATCTGATGGAATTGATATGCATGTAGACACATCTGATGGAATTGATATGCATGTAGACACATCTGATGGAATTAATATGCATGCAGACACATCTGATGGAATTGATATCCATGTAGACTCATCTGATGGAATTGATATGCATGCAGACACATCTGATGGAATTGATATGCATGCAGACACATCTGATGGAATTGATATGCTTGCAGACACATCTGATGGAATTGATATCCGACACATCTGATGGAATTGATTTCACAATTGATGATTTGGTATTGATAGTAACACACGATGGTACCAATATCCGTACAAACATGATTGAAGAAATTGCTTTCTATGTAAACACACCTTAAGGAGTTGATCTGCATATAGATCGACGCAGCCCGGAGCGAGTTCTCGTCCTTGCCCGGGTCTTTCTTATATTGCGCATCGCCATAGCCCTCTCTATCAAACAATGCACGCCCCACCGGATCTCCCCTGTAATCTCTATGAAACAAGGCATTTCTCGTCCAATCCCCGTCTCCTACGTGCCCATCCCGTCTGCCATATCTACAATCCCATCCGCCCGTGTACGGAGAATGGCCCGCATCAGCTGTCTTGGACACCAACAGCCCCATCTCACTACTAGTGCCGCTCGAGCTCTCTGCATACGACGCTGTCCGGCGCACAGGCGGTGCGTGTGCGTTGCCGAGAGACGACGGTTGTTCTGGCCCGGGGGGTGTGGCGGGTCTTGGCTGTACGTGCCGGTCATGGACGGTGTGGGACTCCATGTTGGTGTGCGTGTAGGTGGATGTGTATTGGGGTTTGTGGTGGGGAGTGGGTGTGGTGGGTACAGAGAAGGGCGGGAAAGGGCTCAGCCCCTTGGGAGGCCCATTTGGAGGCCCGTTTGGAGGCCCTTCATCGATGGCTTCCGCGGCGATAGACGGTCCTGCCGTGATATCAGAGAAGAAAACTTCAGATTGCGATACGAGGGGTTTGTTCCTGTCCATCTATAAAAGTACGCTGCGGTAAACTACAGGCAATACAAATAAACGAGGATTACAGGATTACAGGTCACAACAGCGGAAACACTGGGGCTCCAAAAAGAAAGGGCCAATACTAGGACAATTGTCGATATTGGCCAAAATTTGCAAAGTATCATTGAGAACCCTGTGCCAAATTCCTCTCGGTATTGCATTGTATTAGTGAGGACACAAGCACTGACACGTGGGCATGCAGACCACAGATCTATATTTACACCAATATAATCTATATGTACACGAATATAATTAAAATGCATACAAATATGTATACCCATGTTCAATGTACATCTAAAGAATCCAATCCAATCTCAACGATACATACTAGCGGAAGCACACACCTCGATTGTCGTTGCCGCCGGTGCCCTTCTTGCACGGCACACCTATAGTGATACCCTGCGCCAGAGATCGCGAGAGTGTCATGGTGGTAGGTGACGAGGATCGATTGGCGTGCTCAGGGTCCTGAGCCTTGTATACCCATGTGAATCTGCATAGGGTGTGGAGAGCGGGGAAGTGAGTGGATGTGTATATGTAGATGCTACGTGAAGGTCGATTGCGAGAAAGTTATATGGGTAGATATTGTGTATATAAATGCAATGTGAGTATCTGCGTAGGGTATGGAGGTACAGTAAGTTTATGTGTATATAGATGTATGTATGCATGTAAGTATGAAAGTATATATATATATATATATATATATATATATATATATATA